TGTGCTGTGTAAAGTATGTCAGACAGAGAAACACAAATGCAATGTGATTTCGCTTATATGTGAAATCTAACAAACTCATAGATACAGAGAACATTTTGATGGTTGCCAGATGGGAGGGGGCTTGGGAGAGTGGGTGAAAAAGGGGAAGGGATTAAGAAGTACAAATTGGTTGTTACAAAGTAGTCATGGGGATGTAGGGTATAGCATAAGGAATATAGTTAATAATATTGTAATAACTATGTATGCTGTCAGATGGGTACTAGATTTGTTGAGGTGACAGGTGGGAGGGGGTTGGGGGCTAGGGTGAAAAAGGTGAAGGGATTAGAAGTACAAACTGGTAGTTACAACATAGTCATGGGGATGTAAAATAAAGCATAGGGAATATAGCCAATGATATGGTAATAACTATGTATAGTGCTAGGTGGGTACTAGACAGGGGGATCACTTCTTAAATTATAAAGATGTCTAACCACTATGCTGTATCCCTGAAATATAAAATAATATTGAATATCAACTGTAATTGAAAAATTAAAAAGTGGGGGGATGTGAAGGGGTATACATGGTCCAAATTTCCAGGTATAAAATAAGTCGTGGGAATACAGCAAGGGGAATATAGTCAATAATATTGTGACAGCATAGTATGGTGTCAGATGGTTGCTGGACTTATGATGATCACTTCTTTGGGTCTATAAATGTTGAACAACTATGGTGTACCCCTGAAAGTCATATAATATTGTATGTTAGCTATATTTTTAATAAAAACCTTTAAAAAATAATAAAATACAACAATTATAACAATATGTTATAATAAAAGTTATGTGACTGTGCCCTGCCCCCAGCCCTCTCTCGTGACCAATCTGATAATGGAGAAAGCTACCGAGTGACTAAGGGCTGGTAACATGTACAGCATGGATATGCTGGAAAAAGGGATGATTCACATCCCAGGCAGGACAGGGTGCGACAGCGGAAGGTTTCATTATGCTATTCAGAACAGCACACAATTTAAAACTTATGAATTGTTTATTTCTGGAATTTTCCATTTAATATTTTCAGACCACTGTTGACCGTGGGTAAATAAAACCTCAGAAAGAGAAACATGAATCAGGCAGGGGAAGGGCCCACTGTAAATCAGGACTTTGGGCACTTGAAGCTCTTTTGGTGATTCTCAGATTGCTGGGCCCCACCCTAGAGTTTCCGATTCAGCAGGTCTGGAGCGGGATCTGCGGATTTGCATCTCCAGCAAGCTCCCAAGCTATGCTGATGCTGCCGGTTCTGGGACCAACCTCCAGAGCCACTGATCTAGGTCCTTGGAACTCAAAGTGTGGTCCACGGACCAGCAGCAGCAGCGTCTCCGGGGAGTTTGTCAGAAATGCAGAATCTCAGCCTCACCCAGATCCACTGAGTCAGAATCTGTGTTTTAACAAGAACCCAGGTTATTGGTTTATACGTGAAAGTTTGAGAAGCACTGCTCTACAATAAAAAGTGCAAGGCACGATAAGAACATGGGAGCTGAAATGGCAGCAGTCAGCAGCTCAATAGCCACCACTTGACCACTTGACCAGCCTGGCCTCCCTCTCTACACCCCAGAAAAAGAAAAATAGGGAGAAACATCAGAAGAACTATGCAACTATTAAGGCAAAGACATTAAGAGCATTTTCTGCCCTGGGCAGTGCTATCCAGGGACATGGTGACTTGGCGAAGAAGGAAGCCAGCTGCTGGCGAGGTCTCAGGCAGCGTCCAGCAAAACTAGGCCAGGAGGCATTCGCCACAGGAAAATGAACATCACAGCTACAGCCCAAGGTTTCGTCTTTACTCTACCAAGGGCTGACCTTGTCATTCCTTTAGAAAAGGAGAGAAAGCCAAGCCCAGTCCGCATACTTCATAACAGGCTGTACTCCACAGGAGGGAAGGAGAGAGAAGAGAGGGAGCAAAGGAGGTGAGAACAGAGCCTTTTTGAATGAATGGGCTTTTACCAAAATGTTTCCAGACTTAAAGCTTAGGTGACTGAGCCTCCCACAGTTCCCCTTTGGCCAGTTATCTGTAGCAGTGGCACCAGGTAGCCTGGCATTCAAGGCCTCTTATTAAATATAGGCCTTCCCAGTCCAGTCCAACAAACATGACCACTTCAACAGGCCAGGCTGCAAGGAACACACCTCTCTCTGTGGCTCTGTTCCTCCTGTCTGTTAAGTTCCCAACTTAGACCCCAGCTCCTCGAGATCACTTAAGCCCCACGTGTCACTGTATGGCTCCATTGAACTCCTCTCACATTTGCTAATACTGAGAGTAATTCTACACCTCTCAACAAGTCGTGGCCCTGAGGATTTGCTTGGATGTCTCTTGGAGCCCTTTTCATTTTCTGAGATGTCATTAGATGCCCAGGAGGGCCCTGGGCAGCCTGTCATGCTGAAAGCGGCCATCTTGGATCCTGGGAGTGGGCTCGGAGCTCTGAGGAAATTAACCTGACAATCAAACAAGGCAGCATTCCTCATGGAGGATGAGTGGCACAGGTAGCTTTTTTAATACACAGATTTCAGAATCCCTGAAAGTAAACTATTCCAAGACGCTAAATATTTAGGTGTTTATTGAGCACTTACTATACGCCAGGACATCTGCACTTATTATGAGCTGGGCACATATCTGAGAGGCTCTCCACCCAATGGGCCATAGAGCGGGAATTCCTCTCTCCTCCTCCAGAAGAGGAAGGGAGGAAAAAAATAGCCATACCACCCAAGTCAAAGAAGCCAACACCTAAACTGACTAAGCATCCAAGTGTTAAAAGAGAAAACAATCTTTAAGGTAAGCTGGTGGTGCCTTCCTGACACATTGTCACTGCTGGGAGGAAAAAAAAAAATCACAGGATTTTATTGTGAAGCACCAAACCCAAATCAATTCATGGCAAGCTCCACAGGACAGAGAGCGAAGGGAGCAGGACAAAAGTCCCACAGGGACTCTCAGGCGAGCTCTCTCTGAACCTCAGAGCAATCACCAGGAGAGATATCCTCCTCTGGCTCTGGGCTCTAGAGATGGCTCCACCCAGGTGCAGCAGAAGGCACAGGCCAGCGGTGGGTCAATGAAGATGCACCTCAGGCCAAGTGCATAGGATGAGAAGACACCAGAGTGACTGTTATATGATAAAGAATTTGTCTGGTGTTCATCCCTCATTCCTGGGAGAGAGCCTCTAGCTCCTTGGAATTTCTCAGTGACAGGAGTCTCTTTGATATTCATGGTGTGGCCCTTGGATCACACCTGAGTTTGGACCAGATGACTCAGGACGGGGGCGATATCAGTCCCATTTGTCTGGGAGGGGCTGGGGGCTGGGGATTGAGGTCAATCATGTGGTCAGAGATTCAGTCAAATCTGCCTATGTAATGAAACCCGGACAAAAACTCTGAACACTGAAGCTCAGTGAACCCACTGATAGGCCAGAGGGAGACACATCCTGATTCCATGGGAGAGGACACAGAAGCTCTGCATTCAGGACCCTCCTAGACCCCATCTTATGCATCTCTTCATTTGGCTGGTCCTGATTTGTAACCTTTACTTAAAAAAAAAACCAAAAACTAACCACAAGTATAGTGATTCCCTGAGTTCTGTGAGTTATTATAGCAAATCATTGAATCCGAGGGGGTTGAGGGAGCCCCCAAATTTATAGTCAGTTCATCAGAACTGCAGGTGGCCTGGAGCCTCCCAAACCTGCAGCTTGTGTCTGAAGTGAGGGCAGCCTCATGGGGCACTGCGCCCTTAAGCCTGTGGCGTCGGCACCAACTCTGGGTGGTCAGCGTCAGAATCGTACTGTAGATCGTAATAGTCCAGGTCCATCCTGTCTCAGGCCCTGGGGACATGCTGAATTCAGTCTGCATTTTCCAGGACCTTTTGTCTCCTTTACCCATTCATTTCCCCACCTCCACTTAAAATACAATTTCCTCTAAAATCAGGGTGTTTGAGACCCAATTCTGGCACATACGACAGCCCAAGAAACAAGTGTGATCCATGTCTACGGGACTGTGGAATAAAAAACAAAGCATGGACCATCACTCAGTAGCTGTGTGACTTCAGGCAAATTACTAAACCTCCTAAACCTCCCTGAGCCTCAGTTCCTATCTCTGTAAGATGAGGCTCATGACCCTTTCTCAAATAGAGCTGATGGGAAAAATTCAATGATGTAACTTATTTACAAAGATCCTAGCATGTTCTCTTACTCGTGGAAGGCATGCAATAGTCATCTGCCTAGTCCCCTTCTATTTTCAAACTTCCCTGTACCTCAAACTCTCCCAGATGCTCTATTCTCCATGGATTACTATTCTGGGTGCTGGGCACACTGGCAACATGCTGATGTTTTACATCCCAGGCCAGCAGGAAGCCAACCATTAAACCAAAAATGAAAAGCAAGTAACCAATACCTTGAACAAAAAGGGCACTTACATTTACTTCAGTGGCTAAAAAGACACCGTAAAATATAATATGCATCATGCATCCTCACAATTAACAACAGATCTTGCAAATTATTCTCTCAGGTCCCTAGGTGCATCCAACTGCTCACTAAAAACAATTAATTCTTTCAGGAAGTAAAGAGATCATGAAGTGTCTCTGGTCAGTAGAAAAATCTGCTTGTTTTATTATAAATAAAGAAAATAGAAAATGAGACTCAAATTTGGGGATTTCCTGCCCCACAAATGGGGGGAAGTAAGATCAGAGAGACTCAAATACAATTACTGTCTGTGAGCAAGGGTGCTCAATGAGAGCTAGGACCTGCCAAATCTGGGGTATGACATCTCTGGGGGTGACAAGGGAAGGGGAGGGAGCCTATTTCCCAGCAAGCTCAGAGACCATACTCCGCTCCCACAAATTCAAACTTCCTACAAGTTAAATGTGTCCTCAATGGGACCCATGGTTCATCCTGACAAAGGAAGAGGTAACGGAAGTGGGAAACACAAGCCCAATGGCACTTGGAGACCACACAGACACAGGGGTTAAAGCAGGGGCTTGGGACGCCCCCAGAAACAGGAGGTGATTGAGCTGGGGGAGGGGGGTCAGGATGGCAGCAGGTGACAAGGAGGTTTCAGAGTGGAATTCTAGCCACGGTGAGTGATGTTTAGACTCCATTCTCCAGGACTGGGGGCATCAAATGACGAACTAAAAGGGCTAAGTCAGGAAGGAATTATGCCAACGGGTGACTGGATGGCGACTGCACTTGGAGCTGAGCTAGCTGCGCCCTCCACAACTAAGACTGAAGGACAACAACTTGGTTGTTCCCCTTCCCCAACCCCCCAATAAAATCTTTAAAACAAAAAAAGGAAGGAATTAGTAGAACGAGGCAGGTACTAGGTCACAGGGAATGAGGTGAGAGCCCAGAGGAAAAAAGTCTGAGGTTTCAGTTGAGCCTCTGAGTTCCTCCTGGCCGTGGGCTTCTGAACAACTAGGACCAAGGTCTCCATCTTGGAAGGTGAGGGAAACCTACAAGCAGCAGGAAGTGGCCCCACAGTGGAAGGTTGGAGGAATACAGGGGCACCAAGCCAAGCAGACCACCATGGCACGTGGCGTCCAGGACCACTCCTACCCAATAGTCAAAGTGAATTCACTCCCAACCAAGAATAAAAATCCCACCAACCAAGCCCTGCCCTGCAACCCTGAAGGGGTTTTTATTGAAACACAGCACATAAAACACCAAAGGGGTCCTCATGACAGCAGTGAACTCATGGCTATAGCACAGCCACTTCAGAGGACAAGCCATTCATGAAGGTGCAGAGTGACAGGGAGTACCTCTGGGGAGTGACAGGGCAAGGCGAGGGAACCTGTTCTCCAGCAAGCTCAGAGACCATGCTCCCTGCAACAAAATCAAACTTCTACAAGTTAAATGTGCCTTCAGTGGGATTCATAGTCCATTCTGACAAAGGAAGGGCTAATGGCAGTGGGGTACATCCGACCCAACGACACACGCCGGGATAGGAAAGCAGACTGTGTGCCACCTCCCTCGATAAGGAGAGAAATCTGTTGCATGGTTCAGCTTATGGCCCTCAAGACGGGCTACAGTGTGGGAGAGGAATCCCAGGTGTGGAGTATAATGGTGCCATGGCAGTGACCGTGGGCCTCCAGGCCACCATGTGGGAGAAACAGGGTGACTGGTGGAGACATGACTAAAGAACGAATGAAAAGACCCCTTGCCCACCATAGAGTCACACTGAAGAGGGGAAGGGGACAGCAGGTCCGTTCAGTGTGGAGCTGGCAACAGCCAGCAAAGCAGGGCCAAGAGCCAGCTGGCCAGCCTGAGCCCCTTCACATGCAGAATGAGTTCATGGAGGTTGATCTGCCATAAGTTGAAGGCCTCGTTGAAAGAGATCTGGGTCCTTCTGAAGAATGAACAGGTCTTCTTCTTGTTGTGCCTGCAGGAGGGGCAAGAAGAAAGGAGAGATCAAGAGACAATGAAGCAAGAAATACTCAGGATCATTTAGAAAAATGGAAGATAGTGGTTTTGCCCGCTCACCAGCTCCCTGCCCCAGTGACGACTCCTGGCTAGGTGATCATACCACTGCCCCATCAGGAACCAGAGGAATTCAACTACTCCAGGTAGGCAAGGTTAAGCAAAAGCAGATGTTTCATAGGGCACAAAAGGCCTAGTGGACCCACTGGGTACAATGTTCCAATGCTTCGATTTTTCCAAAAGGATAGTTCATATTTATGAAACCAGAATCCCCAAACTCAAATATAAAAGTTTTCCCAAACTTTCTCAGGGTAAGAGTCACCTGGAAACCTGGCCAGTGGTCCTGGGAGGCTGAGGCCGTTACGGATGCAGCCCAGCTCAATCCCTCTGCACCAACAAAAGGACAGATTGGAGATTAATGTTTATGGTGATGACCTATTCAAGACTTTGTTTCCTAAACCCTCCGAGAAATAATAAATCATATTCAGCCCTTTCCGCGTGCAGTCTATTTTGCTGTGATCTGATATTCGATAGCGGGTGCATGATATATGTGGTCAACCCTCCCTTCACCAGAGAGTTGGCCAGAATGACCCGTCCCTGCCTAGGATGGATGGGCTGGGAGTTGGCCACAGTCTAGACCTCCCCTCTTGGGTAAGAATATTCAGCCACAGCATGGGCCCTCCTAGGTATGTGCCACTCTGAGGTAGAAGGGCCTAGAACCCTCCCTCCTCTGCCACTACCTCTGAGAAAGCACCCTTCCCTTCCCCAACAACACCCCAAGGATGATGAGGCATCTAAGAAGATCTGAGACCCTGAGAATGCCTGGAGCCTGCTGGTGACACTTTCCTGAGTCACAGCCAAGCCTGAGACACTTTCCTGAAAACGCTGGCCTTGCTGCCTGGCCAGTCCTGGGAGACAGGTCCCAGGACCACATAGAGAGGGGATGTCCATCAGGCGTCCTGATCCCAAGCCCAAGGGAAACTTGGATGGGACTGAGACTTTCAGAAAACATTTCAAACATTACTGAGGGTAAGAGTCACCTAGAAAGCTGGACCAGGGGAGTGAGGTCCTAGGATCCACCACGTTAGCAAGTGCACGTGGCTCTCTGGACCACCCAAAATACCGCGCTGAGGCATCAGCCCATTTGCAGGAGTTGTTCTCTGTCCCCAACTTCCTGCAGGGAAATCTGAACATTGGGAAACTCCAACATGGCCCTGGGAACTGGTGGAAGAAAGTGGAGGTGAGTGGTTCCCAGGGGGCAGGCCAGGAGGGCAGAGAGGACGAGAGGCAGGAGCCCACACTCACGCGGCCAGTGCTCTGATGCAGCACCGCGACATGTTGAGGAAGGAGCTGGCGCTGGCACGCGTGCCCAGGGCAGCCTCGATGCCACGTAAGAGGTCGTTGGTCTTGAAGATGAGCAGCATCTGGCGTGGCACATGGCTGAGGAGCTGGCTAATCTGGGGCAGGTAGGTGGCTGCGTTGTTGCGGATCTCGGAGGCCTGGAGCAAGAGGGAGACAGACGCGGTTGTATGAGAAGTGGCCCAGGGTGGTGGGTATCCAAGCAGCCTGTGGCCTGAGGGGCTGCAAGGAAGCTTCCGGGGGGAGCTGCTAGCATGGCTGCCTTGGCACCACTAGGGACCCTCCCCAAAGGGAAGTGCAGCACAAGAAGCTCTGTAGCCTGACAAACCTGGATGGGACTTCTCACCCCAACGTCTGGCCAAGCACTAGACACAGGACAGGAGCACATCTGCAGGGGTCAGGCCTATTTCTCCTGCCTCTGTGGTACCTGACTTCCCACAGCCAAGGTAACCAATATCCATCGCCCAAGCCTCCAAACCCATACTAACTGAAGCAGGAAATTTACCTCCCCCAAAACCATTTGATAAGGCTGGAGCTCGCCAGCCTCTCAGCCCAGGAGTCCACCTTGCATTACTGTCCAAGGCTTCTTTACTGGCCGCCAATTTGAGGCCAGGCTGGAAGGAGCCCTGGAAGTTGGTGCCGGCTGTCATGTCCCCCATCCCTTCAGTCAAGCTCAGGCTGGTACAGCTCATAGGTCTAAGCTCCTAACCCCAACCCAGCTCCAGAGCCCTGCCCCACACCCTGCCTGTGACTGGATCCCTCCCAGAGCCCCTGCCACCCACACAGCCACTGTCCGTCACTGTCCCCCACACTGAAGCCAGTCCCAGGCCACCCAGTGCCCGAGGTCCTGATGCCCCAGAGCAGGATTCAGGGTCAGCCCTTGACCCATCAGCCTTTGTCCCATCTGGTGTGTAATTTTGGCGTCCGGCTCCCCACCCTTCCTCATCCCCGAGCTCTGCATGGCTCTGGGCAGATAACTGCCCCCATCGAGGCTCTGATCCCTTCTCAGTCTCCAGAGACACAATGGTGATGACAACGACAACAGCCAGCACATAGTGGGCATTCGCCAAGTAAGCTGGGCACTCTGAAAATGCTTACATGTATTAACTCATCTAATCCTCACAACAACCCTATTCCTATCAGGGGAGTGTCTTACCCCACCTGAGAGGGGGAAGCTGGGGCACTGAGAAATTAAACAACTTACCCAAGGCGCACAGGTAGTAAGTGGTGAGTGAAGATTCAAACGCAGGCAGCCCAGCTCCCAGGCCTGCACACTCACCACCAGGCTATACCGCCTCTCACCTCACAGCAGACTGTGTGAGCCTGGGCAAGTCCTTTCATCTTTCCTGAGCCAATGTCCTCACCTAAAAATTGGAAATGCTAATACCCTCTGTGCCCACCTCCCAGCAGTACCGAGAGGGCATCAGAGATAAGGCACGCGGAGGTACTCGGTGCCAACTGAAGTCACGAGGGGCCCGCAGTGCTGCCAGAGGCTTCACCGCCTGGCTGCTCTCCGCAGCAGAAGCAGAACTCGCTGCCCTTTCAGGAACACATGTGCATTGCTGATAACTGAGCTGTTGTGAATCTTGAAATGTCCCTCAGGCAGGAGCTATCAGACTGGAACATCTCAACACGAAGCCCAGACACCAAGAGGCTGTCTGCCTCCCCGCTGCCTCCCACCATAGCTGCAGTCGCCCTGCTTGAGGGCTAAGGCTTGATCAAGGTCCTGCTCACCACAGGGACCCCCCTCAGCAAGTCAGGACTGGCCTGGAGCAGCCCTCTGAGCCCAAACAGAAAGTCCTTGTACCCAAGCAGGCTACCTCTCAGGGGCATCTCTCAGAGCAGCAGCCATCAAGCTTGGGCATAGCCTAATGGTGGGCGTCTGCAGCAGACCCCACTGGGTACCTACTCAGCAGCCATCCCCCCACTCTCCTTTGTTGAAAGAACCCCTTATATGTTCACTTGACCCCTAGGAATGGTGCCATTCAGGGAGGTGGAGCCCCGGGAAGGGAGAGCATCTTTATTGATCTGTCAATGCTGGCTCTGATCTGAGCTCAATACCAAGTGATTGGTTTAAGCATGGACATGTGACACAATTCTGGCCAATGAGACACAAGGAGGAGTCTGTTGGGGGACTTATGGAAAGGGTTTTCTTGCTCTTAAGAAATGACACATGAGGGGAAAATAACCCTTATTCCCACCTCTGGACACCACGGAATAAAGCTGTAAAGCTTGGAACTGTCACAGTCATCTTGGAATCACGAGAGTAAAGTCAAGAGAACTGCAGAGGAGTCAGCCCAGAGCACGAAGATTGTTGATCTGATCTATTAACCAACCTGGACCCACCACCTCCATTTGTTATGGAGAGAACAAATTCCTAATTGTTTAAGCTACTTTTAGTTGGGAAAACATCCCTCTGGATACAACGTTGGGGGTTCCCCTAATTCTCAGTAAGATTAGGACTCAGAAAACTGAGCCCGTACATCTCAGAGCTGGCCCAGGCTAGCTAAGCTTATTCTCTATCTGTTTTTTTGCCCAAACTGAGCAAATGGAGTCCATGTCTGCAGAACCTACATAAATGCCTCTCTACTAGACCTGGTCCAAGAGCTTCAGGGACCTTATAAAAAGATGTACAAGGGCCAGCTGAGTGGCTCAGTTGGTTAAGAGCTCGTTTGAGCTCTGAGCAACAGCGGTTCGATGCCCGGCCCGAGCTGAGCAGCCGCTGAGCTGCCAACAGGTAGCAGGATGGCTCAGCTAAAAAAAAAAAAAAAAAAAAGATGTACAAGACAGGATCCCTGCCTTCCAGGTAATCATCAGCTAGTTAGAGAGTTCATATAAGCATACAAATAATTAAATCTGAGAGGGAGTATAAGGTGCTTGCACACGAGCGATACAAGTATTAAAGGATCACTTTTGGCAAAGGTGTAACGAGAGGCTTCCTGGGCTGGTGCTATGGACTGAATTGTGTCCCCCACCAAGTCCCTATGTTGAAGCTCTAACCTCAGTGGGACTATTTGGAGATAGGGCCTTTCAGGAGGTAATGAAACAGAAGCGAATTTATAAGGGTGGGGCCCTGACCCAACAGGACTGATGTCCTTACAGGAAGAGGGAGAGCTACCAGGGGTGTGTACACACAGAACAAAGGCCATGTGAGGCCACACTGAGAAGGCAGCCAGCCATCTGCAAGCCAGGAAGAGAGGCCTCACCAGAAACCAACCCTGATGACACCTTGATCTTGGCCTTCCAGCCTCCAGAACTATGAGAACATAAATTTCTGTTGTTTGAGACACCCAGTCGGTGGTACTCTAATATGGCAACCTAAGAAGACTAATACAACAGCATTTAGGCTGGGTCTTTATGAATGAATAAGAACGCAAAAATAAAATTCTAAACTTAGTTAATAAAAACAGATACAATTTACTGAGTACCCACTGTGTGGGCTCGTCCATCTGTATGCTGAGGTCTCCCAAATGTGTATCTCAAGCTTGGACCTCTTCTTTGAGCTCCAGGCTTACCTGCTCATAGCACCTCTACCTGAATGTCAAGAGAACTACTGATCCCCAGATCCCAAATATGCCCTTCCCACCGTCTTCCCTACGTCAGAAAGCGGCCCCATCCCTCTACTCTGTAACTCTCCCCAAAAAGCTATGATGCAACTTTTCCTCCTCTCTACATCCAAGGCCTCTCAGTGTTAAGTCCCAAATGCATCTTGGCTCCCTCTCCTTCTCTCCACCTCCACTGCCATCAGCGTAGTCTGAGCCCCCCGCATCTCTGCACCTGGAGTCCTGCCCCAGCCTCTAACTAATCACCCCACTGCTCATCTTGCCTCACTCCAGAGAGATACTTAAAATAGCAAGTCTGAGCATGTCCTTCTCCTGCTTAAAACCTGTCAAAGGCTTTGTTTTGCCCTAAGAAATAATCCAAACGTCTTCCCATGGCTTATGGTCCCTGTGTGGCGCTCTCCCTTCCTGGCGCTCCAAATTCTTCTCACCCCACCATCCACCTCACCACACTCCAGACTATCCCACACTCTTTCCTTCCCTAGGCCGTGTGCTCTCAGCCTGGAATGCATTCTCCAAGCTCTCCTTGTGGCTGGTGCCATTCCTGTCCTTCGGGCCTCAGCTTCAATGTCAACTCCTGAGAGACCTCTTCTCTGAGCACCCAATCAACAGCACCCCCATTGTACGCTTGTTTCCTCCCTGGTACGTACAACCTGCAATTATTCCATTTACTTGTTTGTTCACTTGTTTACTATCTGTCTCCCTCAACCACAGTGCACATTGCACGGAAGGCCTATCTGTCTGCTCTTAACTGGATCTTCAGCACCTAGTTCAGGGTCCAGCAAAAACAAATGTTTGTTCAATAAATAAACTTCAGGAGCCATGGGGAGGCACTTTCCACGCATTATCAGTAAAGCAGAAATCAACATCCTTATTCAACAAAGGAGGGAGAGTGTCTCTCTTCTTCTGAAATGACAAGCTTTCAAGCTGTGTGAGGCTGGGGCAGCTGGTGGTCATCTTTGCCACCAAGCTTGCTGGGAATGATGTCAACCTGGAGGAAAGCAGAACCAAGAAATGGCAAGAGGTAGCCTCTTTGGTGACATCATTTGAGACTCTGGATCGAGCCATTCCTAAAGGAACCTACCACAAGGCAGCTTACAGGGGAAGACCCTGAGGCTCAAGAGGTAACGAGAACTATCCAAGGTCATGCCACCAGGAAGAGCAGACGCTGGAACTAGAACCCTGCCCCCTGTCCCCTGTGGTGAGCCCAAGTCTGTCCCCACCTGGATACAGGCAAGTCTGCATGAGTCTGGCCAATGGACAGACTGGGAAGACAGGTGTCAATTCCATGAGGGACTGAGAAGCCGGGGAGGCGGGGAGCTCTGAGCCAGGAAGAAGGAGCCACCCCATAGGTCCTGTGGTGAGGCAGAGGTGAGTACGACTACAGGGAGGAGCTGTTCCTAGAACTGGTCTCAGCCCAGACTCCATGGGACTCTTGTCTAGATCCGATGGAGAAATGAGCTACAAAGAAAGACCAAAAAGTGGTTTCACTAAAATCTCCATAGGGCAATGAAACAGGTGACACTGCTGGAGTATCGCGTGAGAACTGAAGCACTCTCCCCAGCAGGGCACCCCAGAATTGCGAAATGGGAGACAGTGCCCAGCAGGGAACAGCAGAAGTGGTGCCAGGCTTAATTATGAGACAGTCGCTGGTGAGTCCCAGAAGTCCTGCAGAGAGCTGTGTGGAAGCCTGAAATCTTGTGTGAGCAGGTTGGAGCAAAAGCCACACAAATCTGGACCATGAAGTTAACATGACTTGTTTATACACAGGTTGACAAGGCCTGGAGTGGGACGTCACTCCCTTTCCCTCTTTCCATCCAGGGACACTGTTTCTCTTCCCTCCTTCCTTCCCATCCAGTGTATCTCCAGTTCTGCCCACCACCCCACCCCCACAGCCCACCAGTCTAGAACCGCAGACCCTGGGTTGGGAGAGGTCCAAGTCCAACCTGGCACGGGCACCAGCTCTGTCCCTTGTATTCAAGAGAGGGGGCACCTACCTCCGTGGCAGTGACCGGAGCTTGGCTGATGCCCCTGTTGACCGAGTTCCATGAGCGGGCCGTCAGCATGCAGGCAAACAAGGGGTAGAGGTCGCCGGCTCCCAGGCGCTGGCTGTACTTTTTCACCCTCTTCATGTCAGTCCAGATCAACGACTGCCAGAGGTGGCAGTAATCCAGGCGGAACTCTTCCGTGAGGACCTACGGCAGAGACGGCCATGGCAGGCCTGAGCCTCCTCGCCCCATGGAAGACCTAGTCCCTGGCTGCAGTGACCATGTGAAGGGGGACAGATGAAGATCGGGGCTCCTGTACAACATCTGCTGCTCCCCCAAAGTTCAGCCATCCTTGAAGGTCCAAATTCAGAGCTACTACTTGGCCAGGCTTGGTCCAAAGTGGCAGAAATGACCAGCTGCCAACAAAACTCCCCGCCGTCCTCCTAGTTGGTATGGCCTCTGCCTGAGCTCTGACCGGCACAGTGTGACACAAGGTCCACTCCCAGACGTGGCCCGGGCTCGCTCCTCTGAGCCTTTACCTGTGGCTCAGGGTGGTGAGACGGCCCCGAGGGAGGCCTGGGAGGCGGCGCGTCAATCAGCCCCTGCCTCCGGCCTCCTCCGCCCACCCAGGACTGGCACATGAGCGAGTATTAGACCTCTGCTGCATCTGGGCCATCATTTGTTTGGGGGTTGTGTGTGACATCAACAAGCCTATCTTAACGAATGTACCCAAGGTCAGTGAGCCTTGCAAAGGAGGCCAAGATTTGGGGATGTGAAATTAGGGCCCTCAGGAAAGAGCAGGAGACTGTCTGAAAAAACTCCTCAGGATCATCACCCTCCTAGAATCAAACCAGGCCCTCAGTCTTGGGACTGGCAGTGAACTTCCCAACTTCTAGGCAGGAACTTGTGGCTCATCTGAGCCAGCTCTGCATCCCAGGTCCAGAGAACAGAGTCTGGGGCCATCCGGCCACCTTTCCTACGACACATCACCTCCTCACTCGTGCTGAGTCACCACCACCACCACCCCACCCCCACCTCCCCCTGAAGTCCCAGCTCTTCTAAGGGCAGCTCACGTCCCAAAGTCTAGACTGGCCTGGGCTTCCCTGGAAAGCAAGGCTGTTTTATAGCTAATAAAGCACTTCCACATATCTGGGCACAACCATATACTCCTCACAGCAGCCTGTAAAGGAGGTGTTACCACCCTCACCTTATTGAGAGGAAGATGAGACTCAGAGAGTGTATGACTGTGACTTGTACAAAATGACAGCTTTAGGCCTAGGGCAGGGCCTCTCCAGATCCCTTGGCCATCTGCCTCCCGTTTCTGTGGCCCATAGGCGAGTTCAGAGGGCTCTGAGCCCAGGCAGGACTCGACCCTGAGGCTGGCTGCGTGGGAAAGGCCTCTCCTACCTGGTAGAGCCCGTGGTCCAACAGGACAATCTCTGCCTTTCCCGTGTCCGGGTGCTTCCGCACCAGCACGTTCCCTGGGTGGGGGTCGCAGTGCACGAAGCCATTGACAAAGATCATCTCACTGTACATCTTGCCCAGGTGGCGTGAGATCTGAAAGGGAAGGGAGACAGGTGGGAGTTGGTCTGCACTGACACCGACCTGAGAATTCTCTGGTCCCCCAGTCTGGTCCTGGAAGGGACCTGGTGGGCCTGAGCAGTCGTGGCGGAAGTGACAGCTGGAGATGGCGCAGTTCTGAGTTGAAGGCTGAAACTGAGCTCTCATCCAGTTCTTTCTAACTTTAGCTGCATGTTAGAATCACCTGGAACTCAGGAACATTGGGGGTGGCCCCAGGCATCAGTATTTTTTTAAGTTCCCATGGCAATTTTAATGCATGACAAGGTAAGAGAACCACTGCTTCTGGTTTCTCCGATGGCTGTAACTCCCACCTCCCACACCCGCCTCTCCACTCTTCCCAGTTTCTCTTATCAGTCTCTCTTTATATTCTCCCCAAAGTTGAATAGGGGCTAGAAAGCTGGGTTGGCGGAATCACTCTACCTGTCCCTCCTTCAAAGAATAAGGCTAGAGGACTGAGGACCAGGAAGAGGTGACCCCACCGCCCTCTGGCACTGCCCCACCAGTTCCGGGCCAGTCCCAGGAGGACCCAGAGTCATAAGCCCTTTTCCCCTCCTCCCTGCAGGCCCCTTTCCCTACACCCCTCCCTGCCAGAGCCCAACGCTAATCTGATTTATGATGTCTGCACAGAAGAAATGACACTGGAGAGGCCCTTTAAATCATCCTGTCACTGCTGCTTTCCCTGCCGAGGCGGTCTTCTTATCTCGACTCCCTTTTTATTAAAGCTAAAAGCCTCTTTCCAGCTCGGGAACAGCTGCTGAATAGAGCCAGACCTGGGCCCACAAATGGTCTGCTGATGGGTTTCCATGGGACAAAGAATTGCTCAATCCAGACAGCTGATGCCCCAGGACACACACTATCCTTGGCATTCCTCTCAGCCTCAGCTGGACCCCATGGTCACTAACAAAGTTATCCCAGCCAGAGGAGAGGAGCTGGGGAGCACAGGGTAGGGGTCTTGAGAGAGAGACTCCACTCCTTTCCTTGGCTTACAAAGTTCTGCACAGTCAGGCCCCGCCTCCCTCCCTGATCTCATCTTGCACCACAATGATACTCCAGCCACATTTGCTTTCCCTTCTCCAATGATCCCTGTGCCTTCCTACCTCAGGGCCTTTGCACATGATATTCCCGGTCAGCAGCATTCTCCCCATCGCCCCATTCACCTGGTTCACGCCTCTCTTCCTTCCTCTCCCAACTCAGCGTCACCTTCCTGAGGAAGTCTTCCCTGGCCTCCCAGGCTAGATGGTGTTCTCTATACTCGCTCACAGAATGCTGCGCTTTTCTTTCATGGCACTGGCACACTATTTGTATCATTATTTGATTAATGACCATCTAGCCCACTATCATAAACTCCAAAGAAGGCAGGGACTGGCTCTATTTTGCTAAACAGTTTTATTGAGGAATAATTTACATACTATAGACTGGCTTTATTACGTAGCCACTTGCCTGGAACAGGCCAAACATGTGAATGTAGGGCTCCACCTTCAACATAAGTGAAACCCTTGTCTCTCCATGTGTTTTGGGGATGCCATGGTTCCCGCCTCGGATGCTTACCCTAACCCCATTCATCTCCTCTGAATCCTAATCAATTATAATTGGCCGCAAAATAAATCATCAAGAATAACCTACTTTAGTAACAATAACTGCCATGCTTATTAACAGCCCAAAGAGTGGGTCAAATTATGAGCCTCATCGAGATTTCACTTCCCCAGAGTACGTGGCGAGAAACAGGTAGTGCCAGGATTCAAACCAGATGTGACCCAGCCTTCGAGTATCCCCTGTTCTGTACTGGCCCCCACCAACTTCTGAACTTCTCAATTGAACTTTGTGACTTGAAACAAGTTGCATATACTCTCAGCTTCAGTCAAACAGAAATAATGACAGCACCGCTCTCAAGGGCTACCGCAGGGGTAGATGAGAATTGGGACCCCTGAGCGTTGTTCCTGTTGTTGCTGATTGCCTGTGACACTCCTGGGAGGGCGGCAGACTAGGTTGCATTGTCCTTTTTGTAACAGATGAAGAAACCAGGGTTAAAGCGGTTGTTGAAAGTCCTGACAACTTATCCTATGTCACACTGTCCTGCTCCCACACCAGCTCTCCAGCGCCTGCCCTTCCCCTCGGGTGAAACGAATGCCCTGTACTCAGTGTCCATTGGCATTCGGAGCAGGACTTTGCCCCGTGTCAGGTTCTCAGACTCAGGCTGAGACATCAGGTGTCCCAGGGCCACCATCTTCTGTTTCCTCAGAGAGGGGCCCCACCAGCCAGAGCTGGTGCTGAGACCCCACCTCTGTGCCCCGAGAACCCCTCTTGTTAGGCTCTTTGGCGCTCCGTGCAGCCATGGCCCGAAACGCTGTGTTTGCCAAACCAATTGCATTTATTAAGTAATAATTCATTTTTATTTGTCAAGGACGCGTATAGGTCCAATCAGGGTTCCTGATCAGCCCAAGATAAGCACTGCAGCCAGACTGAGCTGACGGAATTCCAGCCAAAAGCAGAGAAAGAAATGACATTTCATTTAGTCTGGGCAGGCCTGTCATGGGGAGATGTATGATTTCCCTTAAGCTTTCTGCAATATTGCTAATCGCTCTGGGCCCCCTATTACTGCATTGAAAGATGGCCCCTAGGGGTCTGGGGACTCAGGATTGGGGAGCTCTGGCCCATGAGAGTGAACTGCTGCTGCTGCCGCCAGAGGAGGAGGAGGAGGAGGTGCTGCCAACTGCAGCTCATACACACGAGCAAAGCCACCAGAGCAGCCTTCCCCAGGTCACACCCTATCCGGCGGCCCCTAACAGCGTGTCTTTCCATCTAGGGCTGTTTCTGATGTTCATTTTCACCAGATTTCACCAGGATAGGCAGGTGCGCAAGACAGAGACAGGAGGGAGAACCAGCTGATGGACTCAGCTTCCCTCTGGAGCCACCTCGGTACTGCCACTTAGGGTGTGGGTGACCTGGGGGACGCGTCCCCTCCCTTCTCAATCTGGGTCTAAGTTCCCTTCGCTGTTAAGTGGATCTAACCCCACCTGCTCCACTTCCTCACAGGTCAACCCTGAGATTCAAGGTCAAAATGTGACCACGTGTGGGAAAGCACTTTATACACTACACTCTAAGACACACAAACATGTTTGTTTATTTGTAATGTGGCAGCTTATTGTTTTAAACTTTGGGGAAAAAAATATACCTAGTATCACCACGAAGGGGTAATTCTCAAAGTTAAAAACACAACCCTCCTACAAAAATGCAGAATGAACATGTGTCAAAGATTATTTAGCTCATCAATAAATAAGCAACTATGAAGGCAGAGCTGGTTCAAAGAGAATTTTGAGGGGTTGGGTGTTTATGAGCGGTTTAAACAAAACAAGAGCCTACGATTCCTGGATTAGATACAAAACTGGTTCTTGTCTTACAGGGCAAGAAGGAAATCATAACCTTCGGGGTTATCTTTTCTGATGGGCAGAAATTATTTGCATCTCTACCAGATAAGATCTACAGGTTGACGTATGGCTGCAGGCTGAGTCCTTAATTAATTGTCAATAGCACAGTCTAACAAAAGCACATTCCCCTAGATATTAAAAGATCCTTGGGTGGCTGGTTGAACAATGCTGAAGAATGACTTAAAAAAACACACTGCACACTCCTGGCCTTATTTCTAAATTTGGGCTAATTTTTCTTTACCTCTGTCAGAGTTGCACTAAATAGTCTCTGGGGACCCACTTGCCCAGAAAAAGACAGCCAGCCCTCACAGAGACATTGTTTCCCAGGAGAGACCTAAGGCCATCGCTGGGCACACAACCCCCTCTCCCACCACTTCCATAATATTATGCTTTGGCTATGTCTTGTGATTAAGAACAAACAATTGAAAATAATGCTGCTGTGAACATGGAGCTGCAGATATCTCTTCAAGATACTGATTTTGTTTCCTCCGGATATATATAACCAGAAGTGAGATGGCTGGATCATATGGTAGTCCTATTTTTAATTTTTTGAGGAATTTCCATCTTGTTTTTCAGAATGGCTGCACCAGTGTAAATCCCACCATAGTCCACGTGGGTTCCATTTTCTCCACATCCTCACCAACACTTCTCTCCTGTCTTTTCGATAAAAGCCATTCTAACAGGTAGGTGGTGATCTCTCATTGTGGTTTTTATTTTCACTTCCTTGATTACTGACGTTGAGTACCTTTTCATGTGCCTCTCGGCCATTATTAGTATGTCTTCTTTGGAAAACTGTCTACTCAATTCCCCTAAGGCTGCCCCTTGCCCTGTTCATGGTGGCATGTGCATGAAGACAGGAAGTGCCACCTTTTTAGAATGGTAACAGCTAACGCTCTGTGCCAGGCACAGTTCCAGGCACTTTACATGGACTCGAAAGCACGCTCTGCAGTGAACAGGTGAAGGAAGTGAGATACAACAGGGGGGAGAAGTTTAGTCACCTGGGCAGCAGTTAGTGAAGCCAGGACCCAAGCCCAGGTGGCCTGGCTCCCGGGAGCGAGTTCCCCATGGCCAGGACAGCCCCACTCTTTACTTACAGGGAGACTCCTGCCTGGAGGCAGGGGCGGCGCCAAAACCCTCTGAAGGTCCCCCATGACATCCAAGAAGGCATTGCATTTGGGGAAAAGAGTCTCAGTGGGATATCCAGGGCTGTCTGTCTAATGAAAAACACACTATTAACTAAAGCCCCAGTACAGCGATGTTGAGGACAAAAGTCAGTGACGATTCTTTTCATTGTTCCCTGTAAAAAGAATGTGCCTCTCACATAAGTGATTTCAGTAATTACGCAATGCCTTTACTCTCTAACAGTGTGTGTGTGTGTGGGGGGGGGGGGCGGGGATCTATAAAACAGTAAAGAATTAATTTAGTAAATAATATTTAAAATCAGACTTAGTTTTGGATTTTTCTTACATTTTGAATTGCCTGAAAGTATTTTAATTATTCTATAATTGCATAGGTTAAGTGATTCCCACCCCCAATGGAAAGTCTATTTAT